AAAGCATATCTGCTGAAACTAGGAACACAGTGGTGTTCATTTTCTCCACTTGAAAATATTTATTTTATGAATAATAGAAATAAAAATAATATTTTTCGAGATTAGGTTTCACTTTGTAGCCCTGTCTGTCCTGGAACTGGCTCTGGCCTTGAACTCAGAAATGCATTCTGTCTCCCTATGCTGGGATTGTGTGACACCATGCCCAGTTAAAGATTCATTTTGTTTTAAATCATGTGTTTATGTGTATGAGTGTATGTTGTGTGAGTTTGGGTTCCTGTGGAGGCCAGAGCAGACATCCCCAGGAGCTGGAGCTGCAGGGGATTGTGGGTCACCTTAGATGTGTGCTGGGAATCTAATTCTGGTCTTCTGGAAGAGTAATGCATGATTTTAACCTTTGAGCCTCCAGTCCTTCAATTTCTCAACTGTTTTTCACAGTAGTACTTAAAGTCTTAGCTAGGTCAATAAGACGAGAAGGATACAAATAAGGAAGACATCAAAATATTATTTGCAGGTGATAATATTATCTATGGCTCTAAGAACTCCACCAGAAAACTCTTAGCTCTGATAAATACTGTAGCATAGTAGCAGGATACAAAAGCAATGTACAAAAATCACTTGCCTTTCTGTATACTAACAAAAAACATTCTTGATAATGAAATCAAGAGTAAAAAAATATCCATTCACACCTGCCTCAAAAAAGTTAAATACCTTTGAATACACCTAGCCAGAGAAGTAGAAGACTACTGCAGTGAAAACTGGAGAATACTGAAGAAAGAAATTGAAGAAAACACTAGGAGATAGAACTTTTATACTCATGATGGGAAGAGTTAATAATGTGAAAATAGCTATACAATCAAAAGCAATATCATCCATCATAGAGTTAATAATAACAGTTTTAAATTTAAACCTGTATAGCTCTAGGCACCTGATATTGACAAAACATGCCAAAAATAACACATTGGAGCAAAGACTGCTTTTTCAGGAAATGGTGCTAGGCAAACAGGATATCCACATATGAAAGAATGAAACTAAGTACTTCTCAATGCATATGAGACCCAACTCCAAATAGATCAAGACATTAATGTTAGATCTGAAGCTAGGAATAGGAAAATCACTTTATGATATCAGCAAAAAGTACAAACTTTCTGAAAAGTCCAGTTGCTCATGAATAATGCTAATCTAATTGATACAGAAGATTTCATGAAAATAAAAAGGACTTCACAACAGAACAATCAAAAGATACAGTTTTTGAGTGAGATTTTTTTTTTTTGCCAGCTATATATCTGACAGGATATATAGAATATATAATGAACTGAATCCAATTGGATTGGAACAATCCCTAATGAAATGGTTTTCGTTAGCCCGTAGTTGTTTTAAAAGGTACAGATGGTTAATAAAGAGGAAAAGTGCACATTGCTAGCCGCCAGAGAAATGCAGATAAAGCCACACTGTGATTGGAGCTTACAGCACTCAAAAGGTAGTCATTAAGAAAACAAATGTTGTGAAGATGGGAACAAAGAGGAAACTACATGCTTTGCTGCTATGAGTCTAAGCTGGCCAGCCAGAAGAAACAAACAGAGTCCTCAGGAACTAAACACAGGCCTACCACGTGACCCAGCCAGTCTGCTGTTACCTGAACAAACTCCAGTTCACATATCAAGAGATAGTTACACACCAATGTTTATTACACCACTGCTTGTAACAGCTGTGCTAATGGAACAAACCTAACTGTTTTATCAACAGAGGATTAGATGTTTAAAAAGTGGACTATAGTGGGAGTTTCTAGCTATTTGAAATTATGTCATTTGAAGAAAAAATTATTCTACTGGAGATAATCATATTAAGCAAATTAAAGTGACAGTAGCTCACAGAAGCCATGTGCAAGAGGATGGATTGGGAATGAATTGCCTAATGAGAGAGGATTTTGTACTGTCTGCATGGATTTTGAAGTAATAGAATGATGTACTTGAAGAAAAAAGATTCTAAATTATCCAGAGACTGATACATGGCAAATGCTAAAGGCATTGATATTTATAGACAAGTAGCATAGACATTATTAAAGTGGCCTAGATTTGGAGAAAAGAAAACAAGTTCCAACTTTCAAGTATCAGAGAAGTGAAATAACTCAGTTTCCACAAAGGATTTATTGTTGTTTTTGAGACATGGTTTCTCTTTGCATCCCTGGTTGGCCTGGAGCTCACTTACTCTGTAGACCAGACTGGCCTTCAGCTGAGAGACCCAGCTACCTCTATCTCCGAGCACTGGGATTAAAGGTGTGTGCCACCACCACTTGTCTCGGAGCCATGTTTTTTAAGATTACAGAGAAAGTAAATTAACAGGGAAGAAGATGAAGACATTAAAGACTTCATGGAGTGGGATAACTTTAACATCACAAAGCTAGAAAATGGATGAGCTTTGGAGTTCTCTCTGTATTTGTCTGGTTCCATTCAATGATTTTAACTAGTATCACAGCACAGTGTCCTGAGTCACCGCATGGTGTAGGTTATTTGCCATTTTCAGTGTCATTGTATATGGACTCTGTTTATCACCTGTCTGCATTTCAATTTTCTGTCTTCTGTGACAGCACTCTCAGAAGTTAAGTATGAAATTTCACGTAGTTTAAAATTTTGTCTAGATTTTTGAATTTTGGGTTTTTTTCTCTTACATAAGAAATATAGTTAAAAAATCTTTTTTAATTAAAAAAATTCAGTCTTTTCAGAGTGTCCCTTTAGATTTATTCCCAGAAGAGTAAGAGCGCAACATGGCAGGAAGGTATCACAGCAAGCAGTGGGAATGACATCAGTAACAGGAAGCCAAGAGCTAACATCTTCAACTTCAAGCACAAATGAGAAAGAAAACCTGAAAGTGGCAGGAGGCTTTGATACTCCTCCAACAAGGCTTCATCACCTACATCTCCCCAGACAGCAGCACATACTGGGAACCAACTGTTCAAATGCCAGAGCCTATGCAGACATCTATCTCAAAACAACACAGTAATATTTGGGTTGTTTGATTTGTTAATACACTTAGTTTATGGAGCTGGAGAGGTGGCTCAGCAGCTAAGAGCACTGACTAAAGGACCCCGGTTCAATTCTCAGCACCTACATGATAGCTAACAACCATCTGTAACTCTAGTTTCAGGGGATTTCTTCTTGCCTCTATGGGCACCCCCCACACATACACACACACAAATATACATGCAGGCAAGACACCTGTTCGTACATTTTTTAGAAAAAAATCTCAAAAAGTTCTTTTAAGAACTTAAAGCTGGTCACGTTGGCATATACCTGTAATCCCAGCACTCGGGGATGCAGAGGCAGGTGGATCTCTGTGAGATCCAGGCCAGCCTGGTCTACAAAGTGTGTTCAAGACAACCACGGCTACACAGAGAAGCCCTGTCTCGAAAAGAAAATAGGATTACTATACTTAATTTACTTCTTTTCCACTTGCAGAGAAGGGGAGTCGGGATGTGATGCAGATTTGGTTGACCAGGACTGTGTCAGCACCCTCTGTGTCAGCATCCTCTGGGAGACATGGCACCATCAGTAGTTACAGTATGCTTTACAGATGGTGCGTTCTGCTGGTCAATAATGCCTGTTACAGAAGGCATTGTGTCTGTGTTTGCTCACAACTAGGGGGTCTCCCCAGAGAGTGCACAGACACACAGGCAGACATTGGTTAAGGACAAAATCTTGTTTCATAACCTAAAGACTGACAAATGAAAAGAAATATGACATAGCTGAAGGCAAGATATGAAAATAGGAGGAAAAATTGTCCCCTGAGAGCAGTTGTTTTCAAGCTGTGGGTTGCAACTCTTCGGGGTTGAGCAACCCTTTCACAGGGCTCACCCAAGACCATGGGAAATCACAGATGTTTACATGATTCACTACAGCAGCAAAATTATGGCTATGAAGTAGAAACAAAAGCATTCTGTGGTCGGGCCACTGCAGCATGAGGCGCTGTATTAAAGGCTCACGGCGATAGGGAGGTTGGGCACCGCTGCTCTGGAGGGAACTGTGCTATGTAAACCTAAAGCCCCTCCATCCTTGCAGTGGTTCACGCACTTGCCAGTGAGCTTAACTGCTCTCTAACCTCAGACTCAGAAAGTGGTACTTGCTTTCTTTCCAGTCCCTACCTCACAGCTGTGTAGACAGCATGCTTTGCTGCCATATTTTCTCTCCCAGCTCCAATGAGCCATCCTCAGATTCCCTTATGTGCTGTTTTAGATGTCTTTACAAGGCCAGAACCCTACAAAGGGGACTCTGCAGCCTACGGCGACCCAATTGGAGAGATAAATGTAACTGCAGCGTGTTATAGTGCCTTTTCCACCTCAGTACGTGGCTAACTTCCATGAGTTTAGTTAGACATCTATTGCTGTGAATAAGTCACTCCAAAGGTTAGTGGCTTAAAACAACAGTGAACTTTGTTAGTTTTCATAGTTATTATGTGTTAGGAACAAGTTAATTAGCAGTTTGAGCCTAGGTTCTTCCATGAAAAGCACAATTGGGGTTTTGCCAAGGGTCATAGTCAAAACGTGACATTGTATATAGTTACCTGACATTTCCTAAAGACTCTTGGTCACTTTGGTTAGCAGCTCACATTCTCTGTCAAGTCAGTTTTTGACTGTTGACAGCTCTTCAGTGCGTCCACGTGGGCCTCGGCAGTGTTCTCGGTGTGTGCTCTGCTGACTAGCTCTCACAGCATGGTCTAGCCAAGAGGCCCCCTGGAAGGGAGAGCATACTTGTGACTGAGCCTTGGAAGTTACCTGCTTACAGTACTGCGCACCGCAAAGCTCTAGTCACACAGGTCAGTTCTGACTACCAGGACACAGGATCGTTGGAGCCATCTTGGAGACAAGCTGCCAGGGAAGCTTAGATAGGTTTTAGGAAATAAAGAGATAAATCGGTGGTGAACTGTACTTGAGGATTTAAGAGGATCATTTTGTGTTTGTTTTAAAGTGAATGTTAGAAGCAGAAAACATGGTGGATGTTTTGTTTCAGGTTATCTAGAACATGTAACAGTATACATGACTATGATCGTGCTAACGAGCGTTTAAACTTGGATTCTTATGATAGCCCAGGGAAACCTGCCCAAACGAGAGTAATAAGCAAGGAGAAGTCACGGAACTGTAGCAGCGCTAAGCAGAAACTTCTTCATTCTGTAAACAAATTCAAAGCAGATGATGCTTTTTCAGCTTCTGGAATTGGAGAAAACATACTCAAAATACCATCCTTTTCTTTTACATCTCAGCCTCATGACATTCAAGGTAATTTCTTGTTCAGTTGCCTATTCAGTTGCTTTTTATGAAAATACAAACTAATTTGTATGTCTTAGCATAAGGAAAAATACAAAATAGAGTATGTTTTCTCTCCGTGTTCAATTTATCATTTCTTTATTATGTTGCATTACTTTTTAGCTCTATCTTAATATTTTTAACTTACCTCTCAGGAAAATATTATACAAATTTTATTTGAGCTGTTTTATGGAGATGATTAAAAATATCTATATAATTTCTTTTTTAGGTATAACTCCAAATGGCTTAAGTTGCTTGAAGGCTGTCACAGAAATCCGTATCCTTTATTTTTCAATAGGTACTTCACATTTATGAAATCATAAATTTAAAATATTCTGTTTTGTTGTACTCTTGTGTTTTTATTTTGGTTAGCATAGAAAAAGATGGAAAGGTAAATCTTTGTGGTCATGTAAGAAATAAGCTTGTATCACAGTTAGAGCTACCACAAGTGTGCTTAAAAGCTGGGCCAGTTTGGGAACTGTTTTCATTCTACGACAATATAAACACAAAAGTCAGATTTCTGGCCTTGGAAGAACTGATATATTTACTTACATATGTATAGATACAGATAATTTCTTTTGGTGGGGTTAAAATAGATATAAACCAAATAGGTGAACTTTAAGCAGATGGGACATTTTGTGGAATTGAGGGCATTTTTACTAACATGTTGTAGAAGGAACATCATTTGAAGTTTATGAATATCAAGTTTGCATACCTGGGCATTTCTAATGTGAATACTTGAGTGTATTCAGAATCTTTTGGTAGTAATATCCATTTTACATCTGCAAAGCAGAAAGTGAATTTTAAGTATTGAGCAGTGTCTCTGTTATTTTTCTATTGCTGTGATAAAACACCAAAGCAAGGTATAAAAGAAAGTGTTTAACCGGGCTTACAGCTTTAGTGGGTTAAGAGTCTGTCGTGGAAGGGCAGAGTGGCAGCAAGCAGTAAGTGTGTTGGCTGACACGGCTGAGAGCTCACCTCTTGATCTGCAGGTGGATGCCAGAGAGCCTGAGAATAGCAGTAGTGTTTTCAAAACCTCAGAGCCCACCCTCGGTGACACACCTCCTCCAGCAAGGCCACACCTCACAGTGCTTCCTAAATAGTTCCACAAACAGGGAACCAGTGTTAGGCTCCAGTTAGGCTGCATTGGCATGGTAGCCTGTCATGGACCTGGAGGTGAAGATGGAATCACCAGAGCAAGCTGACTAGCCTGAAACAGCAAGCTCCAGTTTTACCAAGAGAGCTGGCCTCAGTATAGGAAGTAGAAAACTAAGACACCTGAGGCCAACATCTGCGGGCCCACATAACACATGCACAATATGGATTTCTCCAGAAGGAGAGCTTCAGGAATAGTTTGGTAATAGGCAATGAATTGTTGTCTAGTTACACTTAAATGGCCCGCCTCTAAGGACTAGCCTCTACAGTACCAGAAAGTACTGTGCAGCCTTCCGAAGGAGGGAGGCAAGCAGCCGTCAGCCACAGTGCTTATGAAGCACATCAGTGACCAGCATGGTGTGGCCATCATAAGGGTGCAGTAGTAGCATGGTGTGCCTGGGAGTCACAAGAGCTGTCTAGCTGGACTTTAGAGCCACTTGGCAAGAGGGAAATCATGCTGGCGCTGGAAAGCTAGCTAACTGGTCAGGGCTCTCAGTGGAGGACCTATAACCACCACTTTCCTAGACCAGCATAACCCTAATAACAGTCCAAACATTTGTCCTTTTACCTACAGGTAAGTGTAGTCTTCCCCCTTAACAAGGAGACAGAGTCCATTACAGGAAATCACAACCAATCAAAATGCAGACTTGTGGAGCCCAGTCCCAATGGATATGTCTACAAAACACTCCCAGCCCCAGGCTCAGGGAACATTGCTGAAGTGGGGGGTGGGGGTGGGGAGTGTTTGCTTCAATAGTGTGTCTCCTATTAGAAACTGTACTCATAAAGGTTGGGCAGCATGACAGCCCAAACATACACTGAATAAGTATTACATGTCAAATGTCATGACCAATGGGCATGTCACAGTGGATGGGGAAGAGCCCACGGGACCTCAACATACACAAAGAATTCCAGGTGACCGAGGAGAGCTGGGAGTGGGAGGTGGGCCTCCCCAATACCAAACAGTCAGCCCTGAAAGCACCATACAGGTAACCTTATACAGACTGAGCAGGTTCTGTGAGGACTATGCGTTACACACATCATGCTCCTAACTATATCCATGCAAAAACAATTAGTGAAAAAGAGGTCATGAATTTGAAGGAGGGAAAGGATGGATGGATGAGAGGGTTTAGATGGAGAGGGAAGAGAGAAATATGATTATATCTCAAAAATATAATTAGAGTATTGTCTAGTTATCTATATGATGGAATGTTCTTCTGTTGGGAGCATTTTCATAATACTATCCTTTGAAGGGTTTTAAAGGTTTTTCGTATTATAGTAGTACATATAGTAGAACTACTAAAGTAGTTCTGTTCTTTAGATGTCATTGTTAAGACCACTTTCTATACTTACTTGCATTGGTTTTTTAATTTTAGTTTTGGTTTTTGAGACAGGGTTTTTCTGTGCACTCACAGAGATCAAACTGCTTCTGCCTCCTGAGTGCTGGAATTAAAGGCATGGGCCACTATACTTGGCACATTTATATGTTTATTTATTTATTATTTTAACAGTTTCATATATTGCCAAATTCGCTGGTCTTGTGTAATTCTTTATTTAAAAGTATGTGGTTTAGAGTAAAAAACAGAGGAGTGTGTGGACTGCTTGCACACATATATTTGAGTATTTTACTCTAATTGAATCCTCAGGACATCACACGTGCTGTCAGACTACTCTGGCTACAGTGCTGCTTTCTTCAGCTGTGCATGTACACACACACACACACACACACACACACACACACACACACACACACCCCACCATAACAGATGACTGCAGCACACTGCTGAAAGTTTATGGAACAGAAGGAATTGATTGTGAGTGTTGACAGTGATGATAGACGATACAGTTAATGGCTGAGGTTTATTGTGCTCTAGGAGACTGAATCTGCATCTGCTCTCTATCAGAGATTCATTTCTGTGAATATAAATTGCCATACAACTATCTAATGAGAGAAAGCCCAGCATGATAGGCCACTCCTAGGCTTGTTATAAATAAATGTTTTATATGGAAAACACTCCTTGAGGGAAAATGTGGTTCTTCCAAAAGCTGATGGACTGACAAACTCTAAATTTTATTTTTCTTTTGTCACATATATATTGTCATATATATATATCAAATATATTTTAAGGTTTTTATTTTCATTTATGTGCATGTGTGTGCTTGCTTGTTTGTATATATTATGACTATTGTGACATGCTGAAAGTAAAATGAAAATTTTGAAATTAATGACTGGTTTAATAAGTGCAAACCTACATTAACTTAGCCTCTGTTCTGAGCTTGTGGAATATGCCAATTAAGAAATAAGAGTGAATCCTTGTCTTTGAGTTACTATTCTTGTGATGGTGAGGGTGAGGTAGATATGAATAATTGTAACTGTGTATAAATAAATCATATGATATTTTACAAGGTGATGAGTACTATGGAGAAAGAAAACATAAAGCAGGGTAAAGTAGAACTAAATTAGGACTGCTTGAATTGAAGGTTCAAGATATAAAATTTAATAAAATAAGCAGGGCAAGCCTTTTTAAGATGGTGAGGTGTAAGCAATAAGGCGAAAGAGCCAAGGAAGTCTTAGAGAAGACTGAAGCCTAGAGGCACAGCCGATGGTTTAAGAATAGGGTGAATTGAAACAAGCGGAGATGGTATGAGGCTAAAGGAATCGGGGTGTGAAGTCAGAGCAAGAAAGACTGGTGGGAGATTGGAGGGGAGGAGCGGCAAGATAGGATGGAGGGCCTTGGAGCCGCTTCCTTGGAGGGAAAGAGGGAAATTTAGGTGGAGAAGTCATGTAATCTGGTTTAAATATTTTAAAAACATCGCTGTACCAACCCATGAGTACTTAAATACCTTAAAAAGTAGAGCTGTTAGGCAACACTGCTTCCAAGTATATTTTATTTATTTATTTATTTTAATTTGCGTTTGTGTCTGTGTGCCTGAGTGTCTCTGTATGCACTAGCTGCGTGCAGGTGCCCGCTGAGGCCAGAGGAGGGCAGCGGACCACTGGAACTAGATCTGGTGTATGTGAGCTGCTGCTGCTGCTGGTGCTAGCACAGAACTTGGGTTCTCTGCAAGAGCAACAAGTACAGAACCATCCTTCCAGCATCTTCATACATTCTAAAGGCCTCGGTTGTAGGAATGCGTGCATTTTTGTAGTTGTCTAGATGCAGTAATGCATTCTGCATGTAGTGGGGATAAGTGTAGATGAGCAGTTGCGGCTCCTAAAAAGACTCCAGCAGTCTCACTGAGTGCGGTGGCTTGCACCCTTTCTCATGCTCAACCTTCAATATACTTCCTCCTTTTGTGGTGACCCAACCAGGAAACTGCTTTGTTGCCACTTAGTAACTAATTTGCTACTATTGTGAATCATGATGTAAATATCTGTGTTTTCTGATGGGCTTGGTGACTTCTATGAAAGGGTCACTTGACTCCCCCAAAGGGCTCATCCCCCCATAGGCTGAGTACCATGGCCTTAGAGACTGGGGTAATTATTTATTCTCCATATCCTATTAATATTTTTTAATTTTTTAATGGGAGAAGTATGATCCAAGTTCATATTATTAGTAAATGTGCTGATAATTACAATTAAATCAAACAACACAAATAACATAAAAAAGAAGAGATTCAGTATTAACTGACCAGAAACACACGTCTATTAATGAAGCACAGAATCAGCAGTTAATAACAGAAACTTTGAGCATTAAAGAAAATAGAAAATCAGGTGTCTCAGTCAAGACAAGAAAGAAAAATAGGTCTGATAGTCATGTCCCCATAAATTCTGATCTCCATCGTATGTAACTCTCAAGTCAAATCCCTTCTATAACCTCCCCATAGGGATTTCGCAAGTTCTTTTTAGAGTAAGGAATGTGGAAGCAGAGTAGAATAATTATTTTTATGTTTAAAAAGCCTTATTTGTATGCGCGTTTCACCTGCATGTATGTATGTTGTACCACGTTACTTTGTGTCTGAAGGGGTCAGGAGGAGGCACTGATCCCATGTAACTTGAACTGTGCCTGTGAGCCACCATGTGAGTGCTGGGCATCATACCCAGGTTTTCTGCAGAAACAAGTGTGCTCAGCTGCCTAACCATTTCTGCAGCTCTCTTCCTTCAATGCTTAAGATGCTAAAATAGCAAAGGTTAAAGCCTTATCATGAGATGCTATGGGAGTCAATAGCATTAAAACTGAGTTTTTAAATTAAACATTTTTTAAATTCTGAAATATTTAGCTCCTTAATGTTATTCTAAGCGGCAAAATTTAGAAGTATATTCAAAGAATTCCCTTACTTCAACTACATACAATCCAAAGCCTTTGATGATGTAAGTAGCTTACAATCATTTACTTATCTTTCTCTTCTCACTGGCTGTGGCTCTCTGAGGGGAGGGAATAGTCACTCCCATGTGCAATTGCTGGTACATTTTAGACTAGAAAATACTACTTGCTAATGAGTGCATGAGAATCACACAGTTGGGTTGACTGAAGTTTATTAAATTTATAGGAATTTCACGGAAAGGCAAAGGAATGACTTTCCCTTAGGTCCAGCATTATACTGTGAGAGAACGTGTTGTTCTGAAGGTTAAAATGTCTAGAGCAAGACTTAGGAGCTGTAGAGGTAAACACGTGTGAAACAATGTCCCCAATCTTCTTAAAGCACATTTTCTAGAAAATTGAGAATGTCTATAAGAAATTCTATATAGTAATAACTGGTTCAATTTTATCTCAGCTTCTTTACACAGATAGGAATTTTGTGATTTGTGCCCCAACTGGTTCTGGGAAAACTGTAGTGTTTGAACTAGCGATAACCAGATTGTTAATGGAAGTACCATTGCCATGGTCCAACATAAAAATTGTTTATAGTAAGTATATACTGTAAAAATTATGATTAACTATAAGCAAAGATTGAAGTAGAAGTGAAGTCAATTCGGGGCCTAGAAATTATTATTTAGTAGCTCATACATTAAAAACATTATTTATTTAGTTGTGATGCTGTGATTAACCCTGTGGACAAGCCCTTTAACATCGATAGCACTGCTAGCCTATAGATAAACACACACACTTCTTTTGTTTGTTTGTTTTGTTATGTGTGTATGTGGTTGCAGACACTGAGCTCAGGCCTTGCACGCGCTAGTTAAGAGCTCTAGCGCTAGCTCTAGCACTCCAGCCTCTGCACATTTGACAGATGTGCTGCAGGTGGCGCCTCTCTTCCACCACATGTGGAACATACTTTTCCAGAGTTGTACATAAAATAATATGTGAATGAGGATTTGAACTTCACCTTTTCAAAAAGAGGACAGTCAAAATGAACAAATCATCTTATTTTACACGTTGAGACATTTACATAGAATCTTCTGTTCTCCTTCTGTAGGTGTATATTAGTAAATGTCCCCAAAGGAGCATATGTACACAATTTAAAAGAAATGACTAATCACCAAAGGCTTTTCATAAGAAAGCATTAATCACTTGCTTTGTCTCTCCTGTTTAGATTGCCTGAGAAATCACTTCTGTTTCAATTTTAGTTCTTGGTGATTACTTTCATAGCTTACTATGCTTGTATTGTTAGCTTTCACTTTATCAATATTGTTTATTAAACAATAAATATGTGTTTTAGCTCAATATTATTAGGCTAAATTTTTAAAAGTACACTGGTGTTCAAAATAAATATATTATTCTAGTGGCACCAATAAAAGCTCTTTGTAGTCAGCGGTTTGATGACTGGAAAGAAAAATTTGGACCCATAGGCCTGGACTGTAAGGAAGTGACTGGAGATACAGTACTGGACGACCTGTTTGAGATTCAGAATGCTGACATCATTATGACAACTCCAGTGAGTACTACTCATGTTTCACCAATTACTTGAAAGTGTTTATCTGCACTGAGAAAAGTTGTTAAAGGAAAATACAAGTAGAAGCATATTTTCAATATAAACAAATGGATATGGAGAGACTACCCATAGATAAAGTGGAAGAGAAATGAGCACATGTAAGAGCAATGAGTAGAACAAGCCCCAGTTTGTAACTGTGGATAATCTATAGTCATGTTCATTTCTTGTACATGAGCACTGGCTGCTCCTCCAGGGTTCTGAACTCCATTCCCAGCACACGCATGATGGCGCACTGTAACTCCGTCTGTAACTCCGCACTCAGGAGGTCTGATATCCTTTTCTGGTCTTCACAGGCACTGCACACATATGTGACACAGACATGTGCAAGCAAAACATCCACACTTGTAAATATGAAGAGTGTAGTTAGACTGTGACTTGTGAGTAATATAATTGCTGAAGACTTAAAATCACTTAAGTAACTTTTGATCATCTCTTTGGAGAGATTTTAAAGAATCAACTAAAACATTGCCCTTTCTTTGTAATATGCCTGATAAAGTTTCTCTGTATCTTAACTAATGCTTGTGGTTTCTCCTTAAACTACTTGTACTCTTTTCTGTAGGAGAAATGGGACAGCATGACCAGGAAGTGGAGAGACAGCTTTTTCGTCCGCCTGGTTCGCCTGGTTCTCATTGATGAGGTAGTGAGCACATTCACTGTCAGAGATATGCATAAAATGATATTTAGAATAGATGGAAAGAAGGGACATTTTTACTAAAATAATGCTTTTAGTCCTTTAACATGGAAAGTGCTTATTTTTTCAAGGAAAAGTATTAATATTACTGTATATTTTAATTGATTAAACAGTTTTGGTTTTATACCTAATGATTCTCTTTTGATTTCTTGCTTAGGTGCACATTATAAAAGATGAAAACCGTGGTCCAACTCTTGAAGTTGTGGTTACCAGAATGAAAACTTTATCTAGGTCCTTAAAAAATGCCGTCTCTGTTCCAGTGAGATTTGTAGCTGTATCGGCAACAATTCCCAACGCTGAGGATGTACGTCAGAGTCTTCACTTCCCTGGCTTTTTATTATGTATGGAAGATATAGCTAATTTGATGTCAGGGAAGATGCTATTTTGTGAAAGTGTATATTGAAAGTTAGTGCCAGGTTGCATAGGTATAACGAAGTTACAGCCATAACGTTTGATAAAAATTTTATGAAATATTTTTAGTACAAATATGTTATTAGCTTTTTATCTGAAAAACATAGTTTTGCTTATTCCATGCACCTTCTGACTTGGCTAGTAATGCGACCTGAGTGAGCTGGCAGAGTGTGGTGGAGAGTGGAAACAATGGCTGGGGTGCCCATGCACTTTCCTCAGTCCCTGTGCCTCCGCTGTGGTGAGCACTAATGGCTGTTCCAAAGTGCAGATATGTGGAGCATCCTAGTCCAGCCGTGAGGGTGACATCATGCTAGTGAGCCAGGGCTTTGTTGACAGTGTTATACTTTCTATAATCACATAGGACTTCTTTAATTCCTAAGCAAAGTTTTCCTTGATTTTATCATATGCATACAGGTGTTTTGCCTACATGTGTATTTTTTATTGATTTGTAGCAATTATTATAAAAATACCATCACATTCTTGAAACTTTCTATATTATAGTAGCCACTGGTTCTTTGAACACAAGCTTCTCTTCATTTTTCTTGTCCTTTTCCTCAATCTTTGTATAAAATTAAAGCTTTTGTTCTTGGCCATCCATTCTCTGGAGCTGCACATTGTTGTGTGCTCTTGTTCTTTCTCATGGTAACCTTGCAACTACACCTCCTTTCCTGACTGTGCAACAAGGAGATGTTCCCTGACAAGACAAGGCCTGGAGCCAATTACTGAGGAGAGTGCAGCAGGGCGAGAACTGCTCGCCAGAGAGTCGGGAGTTGGCAGTAGTGCCCAGGCCAGGCCTGGAAAGTGCTTTTGGCATTGCCATCTCTCAAGAGTTTAAACGGGGTCCAGAGACATGGCTCAGAGGTTAAGAGTACTTCCTGATCTCCCAGAGGACCATAGATCAGTCATGCTCCCACGTTGGGAACCTCACAACTGCCTGTAACTCCAGGTCTAAGGGATCTGATGCCCTCTTTTGACCCATCAGGCACACACACATGCATAGCACACACACACTCAAATTGCACAGCATACACACAAATAAAAATAAACATGTATTTTTAAAAAGCTTTTTTTTTCTTTGATTAGCAGACCAGCATAAGACAGTCATTCTTTGCTACTGTGTTGGTGGTGTTTAGGGAAATACGAAGGTTTCTATCATTTTCAGGAATAGTTCTGAACAATAACCAGGACTTACAGTGCCACAGGAACTTTGATTTTTATGACCAGATTGATTTTAATTCTACTTTGGGCTCTTATGAGGGAATGTGAAACAGAATTGTAATGACTAATCAGAACTCTGCTGCGAGAGTACTAGAGTCTTGAAACACTGCTCTTGGCAGCACTTCCTAACGTAGTAGTAGTGAAGTAAGTAAGGCTGAAGGGAGATGATGTGATTAAATACTTTCAGACCTTGACTTCACAGTGCTTTATAACTGTGCTGTTTTAGCTATAGAACTGTCCTAGGGAAACCTGTAATATGTGTGCTTCTTTGTTTTCAGATTGCAGAGTGGCTTTCTGATGGCAAGAAACCTGCTGGCTGTCTGAAAATGGATGAGAGCCACAGGCCGGTGAAGCTGCAGAAAGTGGTCCTGGGCTTTCCCTGTAGTAGCAGCCAGACTGAATTTAAGTTTGACCTAGCCCTCAACTATAAAGTTTACAGTGTTATACGAACGTACTCCAATCAGAAGCCCACACTTGTGGTATGGATTATTAGTTGCTGGTTTGGGGTATGATGTTCAGTTTTTAAAGTGAGTGCTATAGAATATACTGCTTTATTTTCAGTTTTGTGCAACAAGGAAAGGTGTGCAGCAGGCTGCTTCTGTTCTTGTAAAAGACGCCAAATTTGTCTTCACTGTGGATCAGAAACTAAGGTGTGTGCTTGGGTTTCTTCTAGAAACTAGGAGGACTTTTGGGGGTCACTCAGGTGAAATGAGAAGGTGACTCATCCCTTAACCTTGGACAAATTACATGATATATTTAAGCCTAGGTTTTTTACCTATTCCATAAAAATAATAGTGTCTTTATGGATTGAGTGAAAAAGTGTAAAAGCAGAATTAAAAACAGAAGTGCAGGTATAGGGAAAAGAAGCCAGAGGAATTGTAAATCACTTGGAGCCCGCTACTCGTTGGCAATGAACACAATGAGCAAGGTGTGCAGTGTCGCCTTTAGTCAAAATAAGATGTGGTCACCCAGAACCCTGTCTCATCGCTCACAGGCTAGCTATGAAAGCAGTTTTGGAAGATGCGTGGAGTGCTTTGTGCTGTGGGAGGCTCAGCTGCATAGACTGTCTTCTCAGGCAAATACTTGGTACTGTGTTGTTACTGAATGTTCCTGTGAGAGACTGAGATCTACAGGCCGTTGGCTCCAGAGTGCCGGCTCAACCTCCCTCTCTGTCATTGTGTTGCATGACCGTTTACTTGAACAGAAGCATGTGTAAGATTTTATTTCCTCTTCCCATTTCCTCTTCCTCATAACTCAAGGGAAGTTTAGCTCCTTCCTTCACTCTTCCCACCACTTTCTTGCCTTTGTCTCTTTTATGGCTGCAGAGATGTTTAGCAGTGCGGTGCCAGCGCCGGAAGCTAAGGACGCAGTTTTAAATTCTAGCACTCTACGCTTTCTGACCCTGCGTCATCTCGCTTCTTAGTTCTTTCAACTTCAACCTATGTGGCTTTCTACTTTCTTTCTTTTTTGCATTATTTTTCTTTCAGCACTAAGATGAAACCCAGGACCTTTATTCACTGGCAAGCAGGCTCTCAGGGGTGATGCTGTCAGCCTTCCAGCTTCAGTGTTTGTTTTATTTTATTTTGACTGTATAACTGTGTCTGACCTCAGATTTGCAGCTCTGTCCCAGCTTCCTGGGCTGGGGTCACAGGCATGCTCCACTGTATTTTCAGCATTGGTTAGCTTCACTCTCCTTGCCAGGTCTTGGTGTATGCAAATAACTTAACTTGTGGTAATTAGATAATCACATGAGGCAACTACTAAAGTTCCTATGTGATTCACAGTTTCTATTATTAGTAACATGACATGTCTTTTTGCCCACTCTTCATTCCATGGTAAATCCTTAAAGGAAATTGTGACTTTGAGAAAATTTTACCTCATAGTTTCATATATACAATAAAGAAATAGAAAACAACATGGATTTTCTTAGATATATGTAAGGGTACTCAGAATTCCTTTTTAAAATTATCAAAACTCTTCCATAAGTTCTTCCTCTCCTTTAACTTAATTTTCTTTACATAAAAATGTCCTTAAGAATATATGCCAATGGCAGGGAGACACATAGAATGCAATAGAAAGTTATGTCTGTTTTTGTTGTTGTTGTTGTTGTTGTTGTTGTTTTGTTTTTGGTTTGTTTTACTTACTAATGACATAGCAGAGTTTTTAGAAAAGTTGTCCTTTTCTGCATCCCTGTGACACTAGGAATTGAAGTAGGCCCCGGCATAGAAGCTGGTGCTTTCCCTCTCCCCAGCCCTGCCTTTGCTTTTATTTTGCAGCACAGCCACTGCTTGTACTTGCAGGCTTCTGTCTCCGTCTTCTTCTTTCTTACAAACATTATTAGGCAAATTAGGGGGTAGCTTTCTTGTTCAAGACCCCTTGCACATGATAACCATTTGCATTGTTTGTTTTTCTTTAAATTTTTGGTGTAGAAGTGAATTTTAATGTTACAGCCAATGCATTCTGAATAGAAAAGCTAAGTATTCTATGCTGCCCCTGTTGAAATATATTCCTGAGGCATTTCATATTGTGCACTTTGTTTCTATCCCTCCCCCACACTCCTTCCCTGCTTCTTTGCCTGAGATGAGATGCCCCTGCCTTTTAAAGATAGCTTTCCAGGTCCACTGCCACAGAGTGTGCCTGACTGCCACTACCCAGGGTATGCCATACTGTTGGAAGCATGCCAGGACAGACTCGGAAAAAGTACATGGTGAAATTTTTTCTTTAATGAAACTTGTCAGAGCATGTGGGGTTTTGTTTGTTTCTTAAAAGACAGCTTTCAGATGGTGGTGGTGTAAAAATCTCATTTTTTTGAAATAATAAATTATTTCAGAATTTTCCGATGTTACAGGGGATAATGTAAGTTTTAAATTTTGATAGGTTACAGAAGGCTGCATATTCTATAAGGGATTCAAAGCTAAAAGGTAGGTGTAAAGACAGTTTTCTTTTGTCGTTGTACTGTTGTTGGTGGTGGTTTTTTGTTTTTTTTTTTGTTGTTGTTGTTGTTCTGGAAACTGAACCTGGAGCTTCAGGCAGGCCACACCAAGCATTCTAACATAGAGCTATACACCTTCAGCCTAGACATAACTGTTTTTGTTTTCTGAGACAGGGTTTCTCTGTGTAGCCCTGGATGTCCTGGACTCACTTTGTAGACCAGGCTGCCCTCGAACTCACAGAGATCTGCCTGCCTCTGCCTCCCAGAGTTTTGGAATCACAGGCGTGCACCACTGCACCCAGCTAGAGATAACTTCTGAATAGCATGTTTGAATATAGCTAGAAGGGGCCAGTGCTGATGAAATGGTGGCGGTGGCTGACAGGCGATACATTCCCACTGTAGATTTCTTGCTGTGTGGTGTTGGTTATCATCATGCTGGAATGGAGCTGTCAGACAGAAAATTGGTTGAAGAATTGTTTACTTCTGGAGATCTGCCAGTTCTTTGTAAGTAAAATACATTTCATGTGGATATTAAAATATTTTGGAAAATATTTTTAAGAGAATAAAAATTAAATATCCTGATTCGTTTCTTCCAAGAACTTAAAAAGAACTGTGCATGTCTGTGTTGCTGTAAATTCTTTGGCAATGTTTAATTCTTTATCATTTTATTGGACATAGTATAATTTGAAAAGAACTTATTAGCTTTTTTGTGTTTAGAGTATAGTATTATTTTAGATTACAAAATCCTCTGTTCCTTTTCCTAAATTCCTTGTAGTTTTATTCTGTTGATATCACTCTATGTTTTATAAGAAAACATCTTCCCAGGACAATAACCTTACAAGGCTTGGTTACCCTTTCCCTGACAGTCACCACCAGCACACTGGCTATGGGTGTGAACTTGCCGGCTCACCTGGTGGTGGTGAAGTCGACCCTTCACTATACTGGAGGCATGTTTGAGGAGTACAGCGAGAGCGACATCCTGCAGATGATTGGGAGAGCGGGCCGGCCGCAGGTACGGGCAGGAGCCTTTTCCTTTCACATTCTAAGTAAAGCAAGAAGGGGGGTGGTGGTTTTAATTTGCATTTCATAATTAGATAAGATTGAAAAAGATGTAATTTAAAAATCAGCTTTGCAGCTAGGCATTGTGCACGCCTTTAATCCCAGCCCTCAGGAGGCAGAGGCAGGAGGATCTCTGTGAGTTGAAGGCCAGCCTGGTCTACAAAGTGAGTCCAGGACAGCCAGGGCTACACAGAGAAATCCTGTCTCAACCCCCACCCCTCAAAAAAGAATCATATAGACAAGACTTACTAGCTGAGATGTAACGTGCTCTTCACACTGAAGCTCTGTCTACACCACTCCGTGAATGAGGCGAATGTGCAGGGTTACTTTTATTCTTAAAGATGTTTTGCCATTTTTATGTTTGTTTATTTTAGAAACTGGATCTCTATGTGTAGCCGAGGCTGGACTCAAACTTGCCACGTTCTGGTTTTGCTTCCTGAGTACTAAGATTATAGCATGTGGCACACATCTGGTAGTCTTGGCATTTTGGATGGGTCATTGTTCATGGTGAAGGACTGGTGTGCATTGCAGAACATGTAACATCCCAGGGTGGTAGCAGTAAATGTTGTAATTAGGTCAGCCTGTATGCATCTCAAAATGTCTGACAAGTGTTTGAATGAGTAAGCCATTCTTATACATACTAAGGGAACATTCTGGAAGAAAATCATTTTCAAAATATTAAAATTTTATATCACACAAGTTTTTAATTTTAGAGGATAAATTAAATATATCAAATTATGTGGTGTTACTATTGCTGGGATGAAACACCATGAGCAAAAGCAACGTGGGAGGAAAGGGTTACATTGGCTTACACATCCACATCACAGTCCGTCTGTCTTTGAAGGAAGTCAGGACAGGAACTCAGGGCAGATGACACAGAAGCCATGGAGGGTGCTGTTTACCCGCCTGTTCTCCATGGCCTGCTCAGCCTGCTGTCTTTAGAACCAGCAGCACCCACGGTGGGCAGCCCTCCCCATCAATCTCTAAGACACTGCCTACAGGCCTGCCTGCAGGCTGATCTTACAGAAGCATCTTCTCAGCTGAGCTTCCCTCCTCTCAGGAGACTTTTGCTTGTGTCAAGTTGACATAAAGTACTCAGCATAAGCTGGGTGTGGTGGCACACACCTGTGATCCCAGCACTCGGGAGGCAGAGGTAGAAGGATCTCTGTGAGTTCGAGGCTAGCCTGGTCTACAAAGTGAGTCCAGCAGAGCTAGGGCTACACAGAGAAACTCTGTCTCGAAAAACAAACAACCACAAAAAAACTAGTTGGCATATATAGAAACTACACTAAATCATAACTTTTAATTCAATTTACAAGATTTTTTTTTACTTTAACATTGTCAGAATTGTTATGCTGAAACAAAAGTGGCATTTACAATTATACTTAGGAGATTTTTAAATTAAACATTTAATATTAAAATTCAGAAACAAGTTTTAATCCTTTTAGCTTACTGTTTAAGACAAGGAGCCGTTCAGTATGAAATGAACTTTCTGGGGAGAAGGCTCTACCCTCTGCTAATGTCTGTGCTTTGTGACTGTTGCAGTTTGACACCACAGCTACTGCAGTTATCATGACTCGCTTAAGCACGAGAGAGAAGTACCTTCAGATGTTAGCGTGTAACAGCACTATAGAGAGCAGGTAATAGAGCAGCTTCAGAGGGAAATCAAGCTCTCCTGACTTGTTTTCACTTTAACCTATGAAGAGGAAATTTGGTTTGGGGATTTTCTAAGGCCATTCTCTTGAAATTAGTCTATCAACTTAACTGTAAAACTCATGTCATTTTAGTAATTAAATAGTTTTATTTAAAGACAAAGAATTAATCTAGTGGTGATTATTAACATACAATAGTACATATCTTTGTTATAAAATCCTAAAAAGTAATCAGCTCTTACTAATTATTACCGTATTATAACCTATAAATATTAAAATTGTAACTTTTACCAATATTTTCTCACCTTAAACTTTATCTTATAATGAGAGAGAATATGAATATCTGGGATTGTGTTCACTATGCCATATATTCTCCTCTTCGGGAAAAGTAGGGTGTAAGCCTCACTACTATTGCCATACTGACTTTTTTATACAAAATACGTCTCATCAAATTATGAAGTAAGGAGAATCTCAACTATTTAAGATGTTGAACTGCCTTTTAAGGATTTTCTCTTGTATTTTTGAAAATTATTTTTGATGAATTATTAAAGTAGCAAATATATATATATTATTAAAGCTTAAAAAGTAAGATTTATGTTCTTGAAATTCACATTAATAATGCAGAGGCTTTCCCCACTAGTTTGCACAGACATCTTATTGAACATTTAAATGCAGAGGTCGTGATGCACACCATCACCGATGTGAACGTTGCTCTGGACTGGATCCGATCCACCCTGCTGTACATCAGGGCTCTGAAAAACCCATCTCATTATGGTTTGTTACCTTGACCTGGAAGTATAGTGATTGTTTTTCAAGCCAGTGGGGTTTCTAGTCATACTGTTACAAAACAGATTACAGAAACGATTAAGCAACAACAACGAAAAAATAGTATCAGTCACCAATGTTTAAGAAATAAGAGTTGACAAAAATGAGAACACACTGTCTGCTTTTATTCCCAGATATTTCATGAGCTTTAAAGTCAACATTGTTAAAAATAGACTCAATGGGAGAAAAAATTAAACACCTAAACTAATTTAAAATAAGTTAACGTTTTGAATCTTTCTCGTGTTTATCATTCAGCTGCTTCTTGTTCTATATTTGCGGCTGTTCATTTTCCAATTTATAAGAACACAAAGCAATTTCATGATGTCCTTGTTTTTAATTGCAAAGTAGTATTGTGTAAATGTGCCACACTTTCTGTATCCATTCTTCAGTTGACATCTGGGTTGTTTCCAGATTCTGGTTATTATAAATAAAGCTGCTGTGAACATATTTCAGCAAATGTCCTTACTGAATGGTGGAGCATCTTTTGGATATATGCCCAGGAGTGGTATAGTTGAGTCTGAGGTAGCACTGTTCCCAATTTTTTGAGAAAGCGCCAGATTGATTTCCTAAGTGGTTGTACAAGTTTACATTTCCACCAGCAATGGAGGAGTGTTCCTCTTTTTCCACATCCTCTTCAGCTTGTGTCGTCACTTGAGTTTTTGATCTTAGCCATTCTGATGGGGATAAGATGGAATCTCAGAGTCGTTTTGATTTGCAATTCCGGAATGACAAAGGACATTGAGCACTTATTTAAGTGTTTCTCTGCCATTCGATATTCCCCTTTTGAGAATTCTCTGTTTAGCTCTGTACCCCATTTTTAAATTGGATTACTTGGTTTGTTGGCGTTTAACTTCTTGAGTTCTTTATATATTCTGTATATTAGCCATCTGTCAGATGTGGGGTTGCTGAAGATATTTTCCCAGTCTGTAGGCTGTTGCTTTGTTCTGATGACAGTGTCCTTTGCTTACAGAAGTATTTCAGGTTCATGAGGTTCCAATCATTGATTGTTGATCTTGGAGCCTGAGCTGTTGGTGTTCTGTTCAGGAAGTTGTCTCCTGTGCCAGTTGGCAGCTCAGTTTCCATGTGAGTTCCCGAGTAAGGGAGCAGGGACTGCCTCTGTCATGAACTCAGTTGCCTGCTCTTTGATCACTTGCCCCTGGCAATGCAGCCTTACCAGGCCACAGAGGAAGAGCATCTAGGCAGTTCTGATGAGACTTAATAATCTTTGGGCAGATGGCAGGGCAGGAGAACTCCCCCTTTCAGTGGACTAGGGGAAGAAGATAGGGGAAAAGAGGGAGGAAGGGTGGGGCTGGAAGAAGTTGAAGGAGAGGGTTTCAATTGGGATATATAATGAATAAATAGTGAAAAAAATAAAAATTTAAAAAAGAACATAAGGCAAATAATAAAAACAAATAGGGTGTAATTTTATTTTCCATTTTTTAATGCAAACAATGTCCCATTGTATTAGTTTTCTAACAAATGACTTAAAATATGTTGGAACCACCAACACTTAGTTTCTCATGCAGTTTGTGAAGCCAGGAGTCTCAGAGAGTAGCCCTGGATCCGAGTGTCTTTTGAGGTGTCAGCAACATGCCAGTCAAGGCTGCAGTTATCTGATGGCTGTGGCAGGGCTGGAGGATTCTCATCCGAGAAGGCTGTCTCGTAGAGCTCTTGGCTGGAGGCTTAGTTTTTTAATTTGGACTTTTCCTACACCCCACTTCCTGTAGAGAGAATAATACAAGACAGACTAGCTCAGTGAAGAGCTGCATTTCCTTATTTGTGCTGTGGTCACACATTATCGCTTATTTTAAAACAAGTTACTAGTCCTGGTCATGTGAAGGGGAGAGGGATCAAGTTCATTTTTTGGAAGGAAGAGATCAAAATTGTTATGAACGTTTTTTTTTTAAAAAGCTGAGGTCTTGCTATGTAGCCTTGGCAAACCTGAGTCACAGGCGTGTCACCATTGAGAGTTGTGTGCCACTGTGGTTATCTGTGAGTGTGCAATAACACCCCCCCCACACACACACACTGTTATGCAGCTGTCTGCGTGGTTTTCCTGATACATCTCTGTTTAATTAAATTGTAGGCCAGGGTATAAAGTGACAGGCTGCCCTGTGGTCTTTTAGTGGACATCTGTCATTTTGCTTTTCCCCTTGTCTTCCCTCCCACTGCTTTCCCTACCTCCACAGCCCCTATGGCTGGGCCTTTACATCCCACAGCTAGTCCTCCCTTCTTCATTGTGTCACCCGAGCATTACCTTCTTCCATCGCCCTTAAGTTCTCCCTTTCTCTTGGTCTGCTTGCACCACAAGCATGCACACATGCACACACTTAAATCTGGATTGCATACAGGAGGCAAAATGTGGTCCTTGTCTTCCAAGTCTGGCTTACTTCTCTTAATATAGCAATCTTCAGTACCACTTATTTTCCTACAAATGCCATGATTCATTTTTCTTCATGGCTGGAAAAAGTCCTTTGTCCTCGTACATCTACTTCTTTATCCAGTCATCTGCTGAGGAAGGTTTAGGCTGGCCCGTTTCTTCCTGTTGTAGCGAGGGCAGTGCTGTACATGGATGGGCACATATCTGTGTAGTATGTTGATTAAGCAGAATTAGGGTGTTTACCTAGGGTTGGTAAAACTGGGTCATACACCATTCTGTTTTGCTTGTTTTAAAAAATACTTAACAGATGTGTTTGTTTAACTTACATTTTTGTGTATATATGTCTGTGTGAGTGTGCATGTGTGTGTAGATAGGGGGAGTGTGCCTGTACTCGTGAGTGGACACTAGCAAAGAGCACCAGACGGCCTCTGTCGTTTCATTTACCGCTTTGAGGGTAGGCTCTCTAGCTGAATCTGCAGCTCGGTTTTCTCAGCTGCGCTGGAATATAGGAAGCCCCAGTTACCCTCCTTTCTCCACCTCCCTTGGAGCTAGAGTTACAGGCAGGTGTGAGCACTTAACCAGCCCCATGTGTCATTTTCTGAGCAGTTCCAGTTGATGCATGTGTCCATCTTTCCATGCGTGTAATTCTGCATGCGAAATTCTTAGAAATGGGGTTTCTAGTCAGAGGGTACATCCGTTCTAAAGTGTCGTAGCCATTGCCAACTGCTGTCCTTGGTGTTTGCTGTAGCTGTAGCGGTCAGCAGTGCTTGAGAGCACCGTGTTCACACACACTCTGCAGGATAGGCACCTGGGTCTGTTTATCAGTGCTATATGCATTCACTTATGTCTCCATTTGCATTTTTTCTTGTGAGTACTTTGTTTTATAGTGAAAATTTTATATTGCATTATCACAGTAAATGGCACAAATCTTAGGTAATATCAATTAAGTTATGCAGAGACACAGACACCCACATATAGTCACAGTCCAGCTCAATATATTGAATGTTTTTCACAAGTACCCACATGTTCTGTTATATATGTTTGAGGTAAATGGAAGTATTCACTTTTTTGTCTTTGGGGTTTTTTCATTCATAGTGTTCATGAGATTTCTTCATATAATTGAGTGTTTTAGTAATAATTCCTTTTGTCATTACAGTATAAACCCAGTTATATCAATATACCACATTTCCATTGATTATTCTGTGGATGGACACATAGATCATTTCCAAATTTTGACCATGTACACCTGCTTCAACTGCTCTGGCCCACACATAGATACATAACTAATAAATATAGGTCTTTAAACTGGTTCTACATAGTTCTTGCTAAAATATTGTTTCTGATCACTTACACAGTTTAAAAAAATAAAATATAGCCAGTTGATATTGAAAAGGTTTCAAAATAGTGCTTGTATTCTATGAATAGTTAAGCCTTTTGGCACTTAGAAACTGTTATTAATATATATAATATAGATGTTATTCTTTATGTGAAGTTTAACTTGAATCTATAAAGATTAAGTAAATACACTTTGATTTTTTTAAATAAAGTTTCATGACTTACACAGGTTTTGCATCTGGATTGAAAAAGGATGGAATTGAAGCAAAATTACAAGGTTAGATGTACTTCCTTCTAAAACATATATTGTATAAATGTTGATGAAAATATCATTTACTAAATAAATAAGAATATACTTCTGTAAATTATTTTTAAAGATAAACTTGTTTGGAAAATAATGAATTATTTATTTTTCATACATAAAACTTAGCATATGTAGTTTTCCTATATTTATTAAATCTGTCAAAGTATCTGCTCTTACATAAAATGTTAACTTGGCTTATTTGGGTTCTGGTTTTTTTTTT